ATAATTGCTTTTTATTTAATAGAATCAAATATAATCTTCTAACACAGCATTAGTAGTCTGCGAGGTTCCTTGTAACGGCAAAAAGGGCCCGCAACACTATCTAAGTCAACTTACTTCGATTGGTGACACGGTAAGTGCCCTTGGATGGTCAAAGGAGCTGGGCACGAGACTCAGCCTTCGCCGCATGTAAGGGAATACACATTCCGAAACTGGGGAAGTTTTCGCTTGTGGAATCCGGAATCCAGGAAATTGGAGTTGTGGGATCCGGAATCCTGGGCTTGGAAATCCGGATTACAGCTCAAGCAATCCAGAATCATACTAACGATTGGGATTCGGAATCCAAGTTCCACTGACAAAGAATCCGGAATTTGGTACCTGGAATCTGGAATCTAGAATCTAGAATCCAAGACTTGGATTACCTTACAAAAGGAGACTGGTAACGAGAGAAAGGAGGAGCTGGGATTGAGAAGGGAGGGAAAAGAGGAGCGGGAATTGAGAAGAGAAGGGAAGGAGTTCGGAAATTTGTGGGCTGGATGAGAAAGCAATAGAACGTAGTCTCGCGCATGATGAAGCCTTCAGTACAAAACAGCGCCTGCGTGGAACACTATACTGGCTCTAATGGCAGGCGCTCCCTTTCTCTTTTCCTTTGCGCACTTTTCTCCCTTTCCCACTCCCCCGTTTTTACCTCTGCCATGCATGCAGGCGACACGAGACCAACCAGACCTAGCGCAGCATGCTGGTCGGATATCTCGTCGACATCAACAGGCCTGGGGCTCGTTTCTCGAAAGCTCCAGAAACTTTTCGGGCCCGAGAGCAAACTGTTTAAATTCAAAACCTGTTGAATAGCAGTTCCTAGAGCACAAACCAGTTAATTTTGCTTCATTAACTGATAGTTTCATTGTATCATTGTAAAAATTATTGAAACTTTGATCTTGAATGCACATGCGGCGAACAAAAATTAGCTTTCCGGGCCCGAAAACCTAGCAGGACTTTCGAGAAACAGGGCCCTGGGCTGACACCGCTCCTACCCAACGTCAATCGGCAAAACGGAAAGAGTATTCTTGGACCCATCTCTGTAAATTCGTTCCATTGTTAATTGTGGTTAGATCACAGCATTTCAAAATATGTCAAAAACATAGATTCCCAAACAGTTAAACAGTTACGCTTGTAAGGAGTACTGACCTGTTTATAATCCTGGCTGCTCTGCTCTATAGACATGATATTGTTGAAAGCAATTTCGTAACTTTCTGCTGCATTTTTTATGTGTTCTACCGTGTCTTCAAGGGACTGCCACTTGATGCGAGGTGCAAACATTTTGTTATTTCCAAAAATATCGTAACCTTCTTTGCCCAGAAAACCAAGCTTTCGCCTTATCACTGAAAGAAAGAGACAAAAAAAATAATGCTTGCACTGATTTTTTAATAACATTTCCAATCATACCAAATCCGATTTATTAGTATCTAGCAGAAAGAAAGTCTTAGAATTACGTCAATAAATTTGAACAACATATTTTTCAAAAAAATAAACATCAAATACAATAATTACTCAGGCTTACCATTCGAGATGCTCTGAAAACTATCAAGTAAGGCCAGAATCGCTTCAGACTTTTCAACCCTCTTACGCATCAAGCAAGGTGAAAAACGAAAACGATGCCACCCGAAATCGGATTTCCGACTTTGACAAGCGACGTATTTCTCAACCAAAAACCCAATAAACAAACTAGCTATGAATAACAGAAGACTCTTGATAGCAGCAGAGTTTCATTTTGTACATTCAGCGGAGAAAGACAGTTAAAAACATCACAAGTTGACACAAAACTCTGTCAGCTTCAGCTGTCAAAGTAAACAAGATTCAAGATGCTGCATAAATTTTCCGCATTAACTCACCTGTCAAATTTTGACCAATCAGAGCATAAAAATTAGACGTAGAGCGTGACCAACGCGTGACCTTGGTGAGAAAAGTCAAAAGCAACTGGCATGTCTTCCCTGCCTGTAAAAACTGGCTGAATTTTAGCTTCCGAGGTCAAAACAAAATTTTAATAGTGCGACACATATACAACAGAACATATTTCATATGAATTGAAAAAAAATTAAACTTGAGCCTGCGATCATTTGAAAACTAGTAACTTATCAGCGGATAACTTCAAAAAGATACTCGACCTCGATGGGTCGACACCTGAGCCCGCGATACGGTCAGGTGATACTGGTCAGCGGATAACCTGTTTTGACAGCTATCAATTGATCACAACATTGATGTACAATATGTGTGCAATATCAGTCTTCCTGTGCTACCAAACTAGCTAGAAAGTGTGAGATTGAACATTGGTTATCCTGTGGTGCGGACGGACGGGCGGGCGGGCTGCGGGCAGTGTACGGTCACGTGATTACCAAATTTTCTCGGATGGGTAGATTTACTTACCCATGGTGCTCCGCAGGCGCGCTTCGCGCGCCAGAGCTCCGCTAATAATAATCATTATGATCATCATCATTTTTATTGAATATACAATCTGATAGATAATAATGCTCCCATTGTCTTGTGTGTACATGCAGTTCTTACTTTACCTGGTGTTTCAGTGGCCTCTTTAAGCGCCTTTTCGGTCTGCTCAGTGAGGGAAATATCAAATTCACATCCACCAATATCGCCGTCAAGGGTCATAACCTCTGCTATCAGGTCAATACGGGCTGATGCCAAAATGAAAAACGACTCTAAGTGCTGCGTGAAGACTGCTACTTCTTTTGGGTCGGAAGCCACGTCCAACAGGCAGACTAACTCGGCGGCGAATTTTTCTTTGTTAATATCAAGATTGGCCTACAGTTGAAGAAAACGAACTGCCATTAATACTGTATACAGATCTGCAAGGTCATTACACGAATAGAAAACAATACCCCAAAGTTTTTAGTAAATAATACAAGAACTAATTGGATTTTGAAGCAAAAACTATGACTATCTATGAATGCAGAGCGAGCTAAAAGCGCCGGTAAAGGTGTGCGCATGCGCAGATCTACAGATTGGTCTTGGTTTTACTTCTGATTGGTTGAAATAAAAGGGCCATGAATTTTTCAGCCAAAAACGAAAAGTTGCAATAGAATGCCAAATCCAACACAAAACGACATCATTTTTAATCTACCGAAGCAGTGGTTTTTTTATTTTTTTTATTTTAGCATACCTGCATGATCTGAGGAACGGAACTAACATCGAGTTGATCAAAATCCAAATCACTTGAATCAGCCAAAGGTTTGTAATGCTGCCCGAAAGTCAGCCATCGTTTGACGCTTCCCATATACAACTGAAGAGACTGAAAGCACGTGTTTTCTACCAATGAATATGTTGCTCCTGCGAGACCTATAACAGAATCAATAACCGTGAATGGATCTCTGGAAGCGATCCCTGAGGCAAATCCTGCTATCCCCTGAAGTACTGCGAGAAAGTCGTCTACTTGAAACCTCGATCTTGCATAAATCTGGGGTGACAGATTGGCGATATTCGTAAGTATACCATTCATCTGCTCCTGCAATGCTGAATACTCTGTTTAAAAGAAAGTGAATATTCTTTAGTAAACCCAGTATAGAGTAATTATTAAGCCTCGCAAATTTTTTAGATACAAAGAGCTTCAGAAAAGTTGGAATGTCGTCAAATATCACTGCAGAAGTTTCTCAATCGAGAGCACTCTAAAATTGCAAACGAAAACACATGTTCAGCTAAATGGTACCCACTCTAGACAGACCGACCTGCACCTATTCCAAACAAGGTTTGTGATTGGTTGGGAAAACAATAGGGATGGTGACACAACGATGCGCCTGTCCATGAAAAAAATAGGTCGTGGAGGTTATAGGGGCCAATGAAATAAGAGGTTTCTATGGGTGCTGGTCAATCTCTCTAGGCACCAAGATCCTCTAAATTCTTTTTCGAACTCAGATTGCACTGACTTACGCGGTCAAGCCAACCTTGATGGAGGGACTACCCTTACATAACAGTACCCCGGGGGTAAGTATACTCCGGATACCTTAACGTAGGCTTGCTTTTCACTTTCAGCTCCAGATTTTGCATCTTTTAGTCGCTTCAAGTGTCCATTTATTTGTACTGATGTCGCCGCAGTCATTTTGGAAGCAATCTACAAAGAGACAGGGCTGTTGGTTTGGTTGTCAATTACGTAATATAAAAGAGATAAAAAGAAACACATACAATAATTGCTTTTTATTTAATAGAATCAGATATAATCTTCTTAAACAGCATAAGTAGTCTGCAAGGTTCCTTGTAACGGAAAAAAGGGCCTGCAAAGCTGTCTACGTCAACTTATTTCGATTGGCGACGCGGATAAGGGCCCTTGGACGGTCAAAGGAGCTGGACACGAGACTCAGTCTGCTAACCATATAACGGAATCCAGATTCCGAAATCGGAAACCTTTTTGCTTGTGGAAACCGGAATCCGGGAAATTAGAGTTGTAGGATAATAATAATATAATATTTTTTATTGATAAATAAGTACACAAAGCACAAGTTAACGATAATAAGATGCCAAAGCCAGAGGCTTGTATGGCGTAGGTCAGAGAGTTCACCTTGTTTAGTGAGATAGTCCATTAGACGACGGTGCATGGCACTCTCAAGGATTTTAGAGAAGCAAGGTAAGATTGAGATAGGCCTATAATTAGTGAAGTTAATGCTGTCTTCACTTTTGAACATGGGAATTACTTTGCTGATTTTAAGCTTATCAGGCACAATGGCAGTTGAGAAGGAGATATTGTACATTTGAGAGAGGAGAGATGCCAAGAGATCAATAGATGCTTTAATCACATTAACATTAATACCGTCCACTCCCTCACTGTTACTACTCTTCAGAGAGGACACTATATTGATAATTTCATCAGTGGTAGTAGGTGTGGCAAAGAAACTATCACTAAAAGAACCACTCAAATATGATTTGCGGTCAACAGTGGAGTGGGGATCCGGAATCTTAGGCTGATCCGGATTACAGCTCCGGATTACAGCTCAAGCAATCCAGAATTCTCTGACAAAGAATCCGGAATTTGATATACCTGAAATCCGGAATCCACGGCGTGGAATCTAGAATCCAAGACTTGGATTACCTTACAAAGGAGAGTGTGAACGAGAGAAAGGAGGAGCTGGGATTGAGAAGGGAGGGAAAAGAGGAGCGGGAATTGAGAAGACAAGGAAAGGAGTTTGGAAATTTGTGGGCTGGATGAGAAAGCAATAGAACGTAGGTTCGCGCGTGATGAAACCTTCACTACAAAAGAGCGCCTGAGTGGAACACTACACTGCCTCTAATAGCAGGCGCTCCCTTTCTCTTTTCCTTTGCGCACTTTTCTCCCTTTCCCTCTCCCCCGTTTTTACCTCTGCCATGCATGCAGGCGACACAAGACCAACGAGACCTAGCTCAGTATGCTGGTCGGATATCTCATCGACATCAACGGGCCTGGGGCTCGTTTCTCGAAAGCTCCAGAAACTTTTCGGGCCCGAGGGCAAACTGTTTAAATTCAAAACCTGTTGAATAGCAGTTCCTAGAGCACAAACCAGTTAATTTTGCTTCATTAACTGATAGTTTCATTGTATCATTGTAAAAATTATTGAAACTTTGATCCTGAATGCAAATTCGGCGAACAAAAATTAGCTTTCCGGGCCCGAAAACCTACCAGGACCTTCAAGAAACAGGGCCCTGGGCTGACGCTCGTCACAAAGTCGATCGGCAAAACGGAAAGAGTATTCCTGGACCCATCTCTGTAAATTCGTCCCATTGTTAATTGTGGTTAGATCTCAGCATTTCAAAATATGTCAAAAACATAGATTCCCAAACAGTTAAACAGTTACGGTGGTAAGGAGTACTGACCTGTTTATAATCCTGGCTACTCTGCTCTATAGACATGATATTGTTGAAAGCAATTTCGTAACTTTCAGCTGAATTTTTCATGTGTTCTACCGTGTCTTCAAGGGACTGCCACTTGATGCGAGGTGCAAACATTTTGTTATTTCCAAAAATATCGTAACCTTCTTTGCCCAGAAAACCAAGTTTTCGTCTTATCACTGAAAGAAAGAGACAAAAAAAATATTGCTTGCACTGATTTTTAATAACATTTCCAGTCATCTATATTATTCAATACCAAATCCGATTTATTACTATCTAGCAGAAAGAAAGTCTTAGAATTACGTCAATAAATTTGAACGATATATTTTTCGACTCAACTGTCTTTGCAGATCTTTCCCGCAAGTTTTTCAGGGGATTGATGTTGGCGGCGATGTAATGCATGTAGTGGTTGTGGTCCCGGATTCGAAAAATTATTGCGACGAAGAATTACCAAAAAGAGGAATTGCAAAGAAGAATAACAAAAAGAGAAAGAAAAAGAAGAATAAGTAGAAGAAGAGAAAGAAAGAAAAGGAGATGAATACGACCTAAATATAACTGAAGAAAAGGACACAAACTGCAACTTTGTACGAGAGAGGAAGATACGTTTCCCCATGAGATATTACTTTCCGACCTTAGCTATTTTAAAATGTATGACAGCATTTCTTACCATGTTTCATCGACTCCATGTTTCGTCTTCTGCTTGCCAAGGTTAGAATAAACTCCAATGACTCTTTGCCGTCTCTACTATCACTGTTGCTAAGCAACAAGTTTTCAGCGTGTCTCCTAATGATGTTTATAGCTGTAAGTGGAAAGTTTCTCTTGCTCTCTGCGTCCCATCTATAGCCAGTTATGAAAACCTTTTCTAAACGACCATCTTTACCACTTACCGACGGAGCTAGAAAATACATCGCAAATAGTTTACTTATTAGCGAAGAAAAAGTTGATTTATCCTGTCACAAGGACTGTATTTGAAACCTGATAAAAAGAAGATTCAATTTACTGGATAGAGAGATCCGACACCCAGGAAACAGAAATGTGGGGTGGTATATAGTACGAAATTCAGTTCGAAGGCTGTGATGATTTCTACATTGGGGAGGAAGCTAGAAGTTCTGGAGTGAGATTCAAGGAACACATTGTAATAACAACAGCGTCAACAACGGCAGTGGTGGATCACTTCAGATGTTCAGGCCACATGCACCTTGGATATCAACCCTGCTTCGACTCTTGCGAGAGAAGAGGACACGTTCCACAGGAGTGGCCAGTCAGGGTGGCCATAGAATATTTTGTCGGGCTCCAACGTTAAACAGGGACGCTGGTCACGAGCACCCCGCCATCTATCGAGACGTTTTGTCAAGTGATTCACAGAACAAATCACGCGACAAAATGTCTAACTCCATCACTTGATAAAGATTCGTTTTCTTCTAAACAGTTCACTAGCTCTAAAGCTCTGAAGGACGAAGTAATTTAAACTGAAAAAATAAATTTTACTTAAACAGTTTTAGTGCAAATGGTTTCATACGGATTGCCTTAGAACATCTTACGAATAGCCACAGGAAGCCCAAGCGATTTATTGCGGGCGACAAGGGGAGCCCGCAATCCTAATCTCTAGGTTGCTATTACGCATGCACGACAGGTGTTAGCCAGCTTCCTTTGGACTTCCACTAAGAATGAATGGAACTCATAGAACGCAAACTGATCACGCGGGACTTCCTGACGCTCGTAATTTGATCACGTGTTTTCAGGTCATCTATCACTTGAAACTTGCCCAAAGCACAGCGTCAAGCACCGTGCAAACGGAAGCAACATTGCTGACCAACAACTCCCAACCGTGGTGGGAGTCGTTTACGTCCGTTTGCACTTAACTTTAGAGCAGGAGCGTTTTGGCCGTCTATCATTACTTTAGCGCACATTCCGTATCCTTTGGTTATTGCTAGTAGTTATTTACAGCAGGATGGGCTCCTGTTTACAGTTATTATAGTTATACACAAGAGCCCATAACCTGGAGGGGGAAATTTGTATACAGAGAGTATGTCAGGGCGTTTCCACTGACCAATTATTTTAGATACGTTTAAGAGGACTTTTACCCCTTGAAAATAGAAGGTCGACTCTGTCTATGAGCTCATTCGAAATATAAGACATGAAAAATGAAAACTAAACGTCACTGAAAGTTAAAAAAATTACCGTTTTAAGGCCAGTAGGGTTTGCTGAATGGTTTGTGCGATATAAAAGATAGTCTAAATTGGCGCAAAATTTTGTTCTAAAAATAACCTGGTTGGTGAAAAAGTCCTGACATGAGTGTAAGGAAGTTGCTCGTTTTGGGTTATAGGCTGTTATTGTAAGTTATTTCTGCTAGACATTGCAATACAGTGCAATAAAAATAAATAGATAAATCGGGTGCAAATGAGGAACAACAACGCGACTGCCGGAGGGGTATATCAAGCTTAGACAAGAAACAAAGCTAACTCTTTCCCTGGGGTTAGTCTGTACTTCTCAACTAAGCAATGGGCTCCCGTTCCTACTCATGATCAACAATAAAACAAATTGTAAACTTATGAGCCAAATTAGCCATGACTGCTACAAAATATTTGCAGGGCACGACTGGCTGATCCGCATGGCACGTGACTTGCTATCGTCCAATCGGAAAACGCTATTGAGTTGGTAGGTATATTAACATATCACAAATAAGCATTGTTCTCAGTAAATGATTTTCTCTTCATACTTTTTCCCTTCTCTCCTGGTGGTCCAGGTGGTCCTTGTGGAGCTCTTTCGGTTAGTTTCAAAGGAAAGCACCTTGAAAACGTTATTAAATCGTCAAGAAGTTCACAAATCCTTCCTCTTCCTCCCAAGCCACCTTCACTACCTAGACACAGAAAAGAAAAGGAAATTTGCAGCACGTTTGAAATCGATTTTTATCTATTAGAAGTTACAAATTTTAAATTAACGTTTCAATGCTTAATGAAACAACAGCCTGAGAAAACAGCGGACATTTTGGGACGCTAGTTTCACCTCGAATTGAAGTCTGAGGAATAAGTACAATAATTCCATAATGACGCGTATCACTACCAAGATCTAGGGTGTGCCTCTGATCAGTTGAAGTAAAATCAAATGAATTGTTAATACGAAAATATTTTAGGCATCCAGCTGATGAACGGTTACGACTTATAGCTTATAGACATTTCCGACAATAACAATTTACCGTCTGTCCCCATCGAATTCAATTTAGACCACACTGAAACCATATAACTTGTTAAAACACGCTTTAAGTGTAAGTCAGTCATAAAATAGTCAGTGAACCAAATTTTTATTTCTGAATTGCAATCGGTACGTAATGTATCAATCTATTCAGCGGGTTCAGAGTTATTTTGAGTTTTGCAAAATTTTAAGGTGGCTCTGAACAGTCTCCTTCTTCAGGGGCCTTTGTTGCCAAGAACTCAACGTCAGAGGAAATTCCAACGTGTGGTGCATTAAATTAGGAGCAGTTGACTGATCTGAAAGTGAGGTGTTAGCTCTTACGTCAGAATTTAAGTGTGATGCAACTTACTTATCAGCCATTCGGCTTTGTCGAGGACCACGTGGGTAAAAAAAATTCTTGAGAGAATTTATGTATAGCTGTAAACGTTTGAAACGTCAAAAGTTGTTTGAAATTTCCGGTGATTATTTACTTAGATAACTTGAAAGATATTACATTACTTAGGGACGGAGCCTATATGGAGAAATGACTCTCTAAAAATTGATTTTTTTGCGCACGTCAACCGGAAGTCGGAGGCATGTATCCTTTTTATCCACTCTTGAGCGACGCACGTCAACCGAAAGTGAGGCCTTTCTCCACTTAGACCTTTTAGTATGCCTACACCCTACCAATTTGTATTGCCTAGTATCCTATCTCTTGAATGTATAGACTACATTGTATTTTCACTGAAAATTTGGGCAAAACCGGTCACTGTCCATGTAAGAATGCGAAGGTCCTTGACGTGCGTCGCTCAAAAACGGCTTTGCTTAAGCTCTTTATTACCAAGTGTTCCGGCTAACTTACCAGGCCCCGCTCGTCCATTTAATGCTGCCTCTGCTTCATGTCCCCTGCAAACAGAAAGCCTGACTTCTCCATTGATATGTCGGGCTCGAAAATTTATCCTACCAGCATCTCCGCCATTCCCTGAAAAAAATTAAAACAAAATGTTTATTCCTCTTTTCTGACTGTCTCTGAACTAAATGGAGGTGACAGATAATGAACGAAGAAGACGAGTGTGCAAGTCGCCAGCGATTGTTTTTTTTTTTGTACAAAAACTGGTTATCGCTCCATGTGAAATTTTGTTTGTTCACGTGACCGCCTATGTACAAGAGAGAATTTCTCTCTTGATGTGGAATCGTCCATCCATCGTCTCCATTTTAGCTAAAGTGTTACGGTGGACATATAGGACGCCTAAAAGCGCATCCTAGGAACTACTTTTGCATTTTTTATTCGCTTGAGCTTAAACTTTGCAGGATGGTAGAACTTTGTATTCCAAAAAATCCCATGTTTTTTTGTTTTTCGATNTCCATTTTAGCTAAAGTGTTACGGTGGACATATAGGACGCCTAAAAGCGCATCCTAGGAACTACTTTTGCATTTTTTATTCGCTTGAGCTTAAACTTTGCAGGATGGTAGAACTTTGTATTCCAAAAAATCCCATGTTTTTTTGTTTTTCGATTTTATTGTTTTTTTTTTTGCTGGGAAAATGACGTCAGAAGATTGACAGCAAAATTAAAATTTCAAGATATGGCAAAACAATTAAGTTATTTAAAAAGAGCACGACGCGATAGAATAAAATGTGAAAAAAAAATTTGAAAAGCTCATTTGGTTTAATAGTATTAAGCTCTGATTTTTGAATTTCCTGCCATTTTGTTCCTGTTTTTAGAAACATAAGTACATTTCAAGATGCTATTTGTGCTTTTTCAAAAATTTTTTCTTCATTTGTGTCTACCGCGTCATGCCCTTTAAAAATTCATTTTCCAGCCAAAAAACGTTAAAATCGAAAAACAAAAAAAACATTTTTTGGAATTCAAAGTTCTACCATCCTGCAAAGTTTGAGCTCAAACTGATAAAAAGTGCCGGCCACATGTAGCTCGAGGAGATCATGAAATGCTCCTGATGACACAGTTGGCCAACAGACAGAAGAATGAAAATACGCTGTGGCGTCTTAATGAAGTAATACGTCATCCATATCAAACATTACTGCTCTTTTCACAAACATGCGAATTGTGAAGTTCAAAAGCCAACTGACAATTGCGTTTTTCGCTGCCGTCAATCATCTTAGCGGACCTCTTAGGAAACAAAACTTTACTTTAACGGGTTCAAAAGGTCATGGTTTGTGATTTTTGATTGGTGTATTTCGATCTGTTTTGTGTATTTCTGTGTTTCAAGGTTCGTTGCTTGTGATCGTAATTATGATTGACGGCAGCGAAAAACGCAATTGTGAATGCGGCTTATGAACTTAAGAGTTCGCATGTTTGTGAAAAGCGCAGTAAAAAAAAAGATGAAACGAGTGACCGTATCGATTATTGTTGTTGTTGCCGTCCCAGGAGTCCCAAGCCCCGGGGTGTTTCGTACGCTTTTCTTATGTCCCATCCACCCCCTCGCAGCGTTAACTATGGCATTTAACCTGTCCAGCTTGGGCTGAGTCTAATCAGCACTATAGGTATTGTTTCGAATTGCTGGACGATAGCGTTATATCATTATTTCTTACCGGGTTTGCCAGCATTTCCTCCATCTCCACCTTTCATTCCCCTCTCTCCACGTTCACCATTGTAAAACAGAGCTTTACAATACGATCCACTACACAAACTAGCGGGCCTGTCAGGTCTCTGTTGAGAACAACAAATGAAAATAAATTTCCCTGCCAAGGATTGAGATCAGTCACACCTTAACACAAAGTATCATAGAGTTCTTTAATAGGG